TGCCCATAGGACAGGTTCTCACAGAATGATGAAGGGATGATATGCAAGGGAAAACAAGAAATGATAATAATTTCAGACAGAAAGGACCAAAAGAAGAAAAGGACAAAATTATATGAAGACAATTTCATGGAGTCAGAAATAGAAAGACAATAATTTCATGGAGTCAAAGAATAGAAAGACAATTTCATGGAGTTAGGAATACGTGGTTGATTTTATAGACATGCATACACAAATGATTGATAGATGAGAAGGTTGGAATTTATGGCAGATAACAAAGGTATAACGAGGATATTCACAAGGTAAGCATATCAATGGCAGAAAGAGCTTTTCGGAAGGGACCAGGGACACCTATCACTCTAAAATCAGAGGGGAGAGCGTTCCAGAGAATGCTTTCCCGAAACATCATGGTGGATATTGTGAGGTTTGAAATCACTGCAGTCGCTGTTTCCTTCGCAGAATTTCAGTAAACTCGTCATCCAGAAACTCGTGCAGAAAGCACCAGCATCGCGCCGTCCAGTTTGCTGATCTCTCTCGCAGTCGTTCCCGATGTGGCGGTTCATGAATCAAGATTACAGAATAGACCGCCGAGAAGTAGTTGATCGAAATAAATAACCACCCCTAAGGTCGCCTTTCAGGGGACAACCTGGCTGGAAAACTGAAGCGCAGAAAGGGTGAATTGTTCTGCGGATACGGTGCGTGAATGGTGCGGAGTTTTCAGAGCCGTGATCACGATGCGTCATCGCTACATCAAGCTAATGCTAGTAAAGCTCCGTCACAAGATCTCTCGCGCAGAAAGCACCAGCGTCCAGTTTGCTGATGTCTCTCGCAGTCGTTCACGATGTGGCGGTTCACGAATCAAGATTACAGAATAGATCGCCAAGAAGTAGTCATGCCGACGTTTAGGTCAGCCACCTTGGGTTCAAGCAGGGTTCGCAGCGAAGTTTGGAAGTCTGGAAAAAGTTTGGATTTTATAATTCAATTTTCCAGGTCTGGAAAAAGTTTTGAAAAGGCGCCCCTTTTGGAATAGTTTGGAAAAAGTTTTGAATTTCGAGTTTTTGGCCGTGGATGTGCTGCACTCCTGCAAGTGGCCGTTTTGACTACCGCGATAGAAGACGCGCTGGCGATGTGTGGTGTTCACTGATGTACGAGTCTCGTACAGTCATTTCAGTGCAGCTCAAGCGCGGCCGGTGATGACTAATATGGCCGTTTTTCGTTACTGGCGCTCGCGCTCGACTTTGATTCTTTGAAGTCGGGACAGCAGGATGGCGAGGTCCTTTCGCACTCAGATGAGTTTGCTGGCGAGGATGAAGCCGTCTTTTGCGCTGAGACGAACACCAGCTATGTAAATGTTTCATTGGAACCCCTTCTGGAGGCGGATTTGAACTTACGGAGGGGAACTCTCGTCGTATGAATTCCCTTGCTATTTTCGGGGGCTATAGCTACTGAAGGCGATGCCATTGCAATGTACCTTGGTGAATTTGTTGATGGTAGTGGTACCAGGGAGGATTTTACTACTCCCTGGTTGTACTCGTAGTGGAGAAGACAGTTATGCAGAAAAGATTCATATTATTTATTTTTCCCGCACGAGTGGGTTTGGAAATTCTTGAAATTGGTTTGGAAAAAGTTTGGAATTTTGTGTGCTTGGTTGGCTGCGAACCCTGGGGTTGATGCCCCCCTCCGTGCCGCCATTAAGGCAAAGCACGATTTCTACAGGGTGTGTAAGAAATACCCAACGCAGCTTAACATGCATGTATATCGATCTCAACGGAACTTGGTGAAGAGTCTGACTTAATCGAAATACCAGGGATACATTCGGTCCGTACAAGCTACGCTGCAGGACAAAACCGCCCATCACTGTTTCAGTTCGTGAGCAAATTAAAAAATCATAAAGTCTCTTGTGCCATCCCGACACTCACCATTAGTTCTACGCAGCAGGCTACTACCTCGACAGCTAAAGCCACTGCGTTGAACTCTCAGTTTGCCTCAGTGGCCGTGCCTGATGACCCTTCTCTACGCATTCCCCCCATTGCCGAGGAGTCGGGTGAGGCTGACCGCCTCACATCTGTCTTTACTACGACTGCTGCCATCCGAAGTTACATTCGAAAGCTCCTGTCTGACAAGGCGCCAGGCCCAGACGGCATCACTTATCTGGTATTAAAGTCCCTTGAGCCCTCAATAGCATACCCATTATGTCTGATTTTCAACCTATCATTCCGCACTGGTCGTTTTCCCTCTGCATGGAAAACAGCTAATGTTATACCGATCTACAAGAAAGGGTCCCGCCACGAAGCATCAAACTACCGTCCGATATCTCTACTGCCCTGTGTTTCCAAACTCTGTGAGCGCGTTTTCTACGATCGATTGTACTGTCACTTCTCGTCACGTTTGAGTTCAGCTCAGTCCGGATTTCGCAGAGGCGTTCTACCACCCTCCAGCTGACGCGCCTGGTGCGATTAGTGTGTCGACATCGGGATGCTGGAGATCTAGTCGGGATCTGTTTTTTCGATCTTGCCAAGGCCTTCGATACCGTCTGGCACCGGGGGCTCTTGGCCAAGCTTCGTGGATCATTTACTGTAGACGGCAATCCCCTGCTATGGCTGACATCTTACCTAACTGGGCGAACGCAGTACGTCACGGTATATGGGACGTCCTCAGCCCACACAACAGTACTATCCGGAGTTCCCCAGGGTTCCATCTTCGGCCCCCTTATTTTTATCTTATACGTCAATGATTTGCCCGCAGCTGCCCCAGGCACATCACTATTCGCAGACGACACAACGCTCCTACGGGCATCTCCTAACATCACTGGCCTGATGTGTAACCTAGCTAAATGGGATTCAAAGAGTAATTTCCTGGATGTTGTCTTGGCGGTTATCGCCCAATCTGTCTAAAACTAAAATCATGTTTTTTTCCTTCTCAGTCTGATGTTCCGCCCCTCCTCCATCCCACGTTCCCCCAGCCTATAGACATAGTCTCCAGCCATAAGCATCTTGGCATTTTCATTGACGAAGTAGGTACTCGGACCTACACTGCAACGCAAAAACGAGATTTCATTTTTGGCAGCTGTACTACTACCTCAGTGGCAGACACCAGAGAGGAGCCTTAGCCGACGGGGAAGTCTAGCTGCACGTGCGGTGTTCCACAGGGCAGTGTCTTGGGGCCGGTACTCTTCTCCCTTTACACAAGGAGCGTAGTGCAGTGTGCGTCACCAGCGCTGATTCTGATGTTTGCTGACGATATCATGATCTACACCACCAGTTCTGATGTAGCTACCATCAACCGTATCCTCTCCATTGCAGTGTTCGGAGTTGCAACATTTCTGGCGGACAAGGGGTTAATCCTCAACGCGCAGAAAACCCAGGTTCTGGGCATCTCCGCCGGAAGGCGGAACAGACTAGAGCTTGAAGTTACATGTCGTGGCACTCCTCTGGCTCAAACCAGCACAGCCAATACCTTAATACCTTGGTATTTGTCTGGACGAGCGCTTGAGCTGGGCAGGTCAAGTGGCTGCTGTAGTTACAAAGGTGTCCTACAAACTCCGAGTCTTGCGCCACATCAGAGCACCAACCATACACCCTTCGACAGACAAGGACCTACTCCATCGGACACGCACACACGAACAGGCACCGAGACTCCCCCATCAACAGTGCCCTCACCCTCTACAACTCACTCCCTATCGACATCACAACCCAACCTCGTAGAAATTCTTTCCGAAACAATGCATCCAGTCTTCTTTTGAGCAGTACCTGCTCCTGCTCCGCGCATCCCCCTGGTTTCTGATATCTCGAACGTGTACTTAACTATCTCGATCACCCCTGCTAACATTATTGCCCCCGCTTGTTTTTCATGATCCATTGCTTCTTGCCTCCCGGTTAATTTCCATCTAGCTGTTTCTGGCTAGAACCAGTTCTATCGCACTTATTAATCATCCTTATTGGCGTCACGCCATCGTGGAATAAAAGAATATATATAAGAGCAGACATCACCCATGCGCAGTCCCTCCTTTACTTCACAGCTCTTATCCTACCTGACCTCTACGCCTCGAATGCCTACTTCGCCAGCCTCTCAGCAAGCCTCAAACAGACCCTCATCAGACTGGATAAGCGCTGCATCTGCTGTATCACAACCCAGCCCTTGAGTGCCCACACTATGCAGCTGTATGCCCAACTCGGCATTTGTCCGGCTGTCGAGCGGGCGGATTGCAAGTTGCGGCTTCTCGTACACCGCATACTTCACGGCAATGTCAGTTTGCTGCTCAAATCACGCCTTGAATACAGTTCACTTCCTCGTGCCACCAGAGGTCAGGATGCCTGCAATCTGCCCCTTCCCAACATCCGCAGTACTTCGGGATCTCACAGACCAGTTTTTGCTGCTGCTAAGTTGTGGAATCTTTTGTGAATGGTGCGGAGTTCTCGGAGCCGCGATCGCGATGCGTCATCGCTACATCAAGCTTATGCTAAAGCTCCGTCACAAGATCTCCCGTCTCCGGCTCCGAGAGAGATTCGTAAAAGTTACTAAACAGGGAAGAGCACGCATGGTTAGACATGTGTCGACATGTCATGTCGACACAGATCTAATGCAGTTCGCATGCGCGGAATGCACACGGTGATGAGAAGTGATTTTTTTATGCATGGTTGTGTCGCCTCATTTGATAAGAAGAGCCTCTATTTAGCTCCGCTCGACGACGACGTGATGTTTGCCCTGCTAAAGGACCATGTCCAACCGGATAGTTCGTTTGTTTTCCCGAAGAATGGTGGCCGGTCTTTTCAGCCCCGCTGGCTCGATGTATACACGCCATGGCTGGTGTTTAGCCCTTCGCTTTCCGGCGGAGTCTGCGTTCCATGCTGTCTATTTGCAAATGCATTCCGAGGATCGTCGCTCGGTGTTTTGGCAATACGTCCCTTGACGAACTTTCGGAAAGCACTGGCGCTCCTGGATGAGCATATGGGAAAGCCTACCACCAGGACGCTGTGGTAAAAGCTGACGGCTTCCTCAGTGTCATGGAGGGGAAAACGAAGGACATAGCACAGCTGACCAATGATGGACTCGCGGCTAGGGTAGCTGCGAATCGCGCCAAGTTGGAGGCGATAATCAAAATCCTGATCTTGTGCGGCAGACAAAATATTCCTCTGCGAGGTCACAGAGACGCCAGCAGAAACAAGGAGGCCGCGGATTCCGCAAACTGTGGAAATTTCTGGGCTTTGATGGACTTCAGAGTGGAGGCTGGTGACAAGATCCTAGCTGGTCATATTGCTTCTGCCCCAGCCAATGCAACGTACACGTCAGGAGATATCCAGAACCAACTGATCGACATCATTGGTGACCAGATTGCCCAGAGGATTGTTGATCGGGTCAAGGATGCTGGATGGTTCACGGTCATCGCTGATGAGGTGACAGATGTGGCAAACAAGGAGCAACTCAGCTTGGTGTTACGGTACGTGGACCTATCGACAAAGGTGGTTCGAGAGGATTTTGTCGTGTTCGTTGAGTGTGCAGCAGGAGTTACCGGAGAGGCCCTCGCTAAGCTGATCACGGATACCATCACCAGTCTTGGCCTTGACCTTGGCAAGCTCCGTGGACAGAGCTATGACGGAGCAGGCAACATGGCAGGAGCCAGGAAAGGTGCCGCTGCCCGTATCACAGAGAAGTACCCCCGAGCTTTGTACCTGCACTGTGCCTCGCACTGCCTGAACTTGGTGGTCGTCTCGTCTCTGCAAGATCGTTTGGTGCAGAATATGATGGGCGTCGTCACCCGAGTAGCAGTTTTCTTCGACTCCCATCCGAAACGCCAGAAAGCGCTCGAGGCCGCTTTGAATGATGCAGACGAGGAACCTGATATATCCAAGGTAAAGGATCTCTGCAGGACACGGTGGGTGCAGCGACTTGATGCACTGGAATCCTTCCTGGCCCTTCACACCATGCTTGTGGTCTGCTTCAATGCAATCCTGGATGAAGGTCCCCAGGCGTGGTCAAGAGATTCCATTACGGATGCGAATGGTTTGCTGACGGCTATCACCAACACCGACTTTATCGCAGCCTTAGTTATTGTCAACAAGTGCCTTCATTACGTGCGTGGCATCACCTCCAGTCTCCAAGCAGAAGCCAAGGACTTGATTGCAGGAATGCACGATGTGAGTACCGTCACAGCCACACTGGCAGAAGTCCGAAGAAATGGGGACAAGTACCATGGTGAGAGGTTTGAAGTGGTGAAGTCCGTATGTGAGGCAGTGCACGTTACGCCATCACTTCCTAGGCTGTGTGGTCGCCAGACCCAACGGAACAACGTTCAGGCCGATACGCCCGTCCAGTACTACCGACGTGCCCTGACAGTGCCCATTCTGGACCACATGGTGTCGGAGATAGAGGCCAGGTTCACGCCGCACCACTCGACCGCACTCCAGGGCTTCTGTGCCATCCCAGCACTGCTGCTAAAGATGTCCATGGACGCTGCGAAGTCCCAAGTACAGGAGCTGGTGAAGCTGTATGACGACGACTTTGTGTCTGGCCGTAGTATGGAGGCTGAGCTCCACTGCTGGCGCGTGAAGTGGGTGAAGGCAAAGGCAGAGCACGGTGAAGCTAGCTTGCCGACCTCGGTATCAGCAGCGCTACCCCACGCTTCCCAGATGTTCCCGAACATCCGCTGCCTTCTGCAACTTCTTGCAACCTTGCCAGTGACGTCTTGCTCGTCCGAACGGTCCTTCAGCGCCCTGAAACTGGTCAAGGACCGGCAGAGATCAGTGATGAAGAACTCCCGGCTGACTGGCCTCACCTTGCTGCAGGTTCATCATGACATTCCAGTTGACGTGGGTGCGGTCATCGATGAGTTTGCTCGCCGCCATCCACGACGAATGCAGCTGGTGAATGTATTGCACAGTGAATGATGCAGCGTACTGTGGTACATCTCACTCTGGCACATCTGGACTGTAAATACAAATCTCATGAGGCGGATTGAACATGAGCACTCGTCGGCAGACATACGTAACCTCTAATACCTGTATAATAAGATTTCCCCTGTATTATAAAATTTTCCTATCCTGGCTGGTATAATGTGCAGCAGTGTCCTGGTGATTACATGTATTCAATCGTGAATTGAACGAACTTCAACAATTGTCTGTATTATATTCTGGGTCTAACCACACCCTGTCAATCCCTTACCATCCAACTTCTGTAGCAAAGTACTGTGCGTTTCATACGATTATCTGACTTTTTATTGAATCATTGGTGGAATGGAAAATAATGAAATAGATGCAAAAATGAAGGATTTGGCAGTCAATATCGAAAAAATTTCAGGGGGAGGGCCCCGCACCCCCCCCTTTTTCCACGCCCTTCGGGCGCAGGCCCACACTTCCAGTGAGCACCCCCCTCAGCCACAATCCGGGCTACGCCCCTGTCAATTTCGAACCTGGGCAATTTGGTATGCATGTAGGCGCAGTCAAACTTTCGGTTCTCGGCCAAATCCAACAATCGGAGGGTCTAGATGGTACAGAAAACTCTTAGCTATCGCCTCGAACAGGTCCGAAGTCTCTTCGATAAAGTTTGAGTGAGCGGCGAGCGATCGAAGATTTCGATTTTTCGACAGTGCGTGCTGCGAGTCAGCAGTGCGTAAAAAAAAGGGATTTTCCCAGCTTCATGACAGGCGGCACGTGCCAGGACCGGCGCGGCGCGAAGTCACGGCAAGGTAAGCTTCTACTGGAAAAAATGTGAACAGGTCCGAGCTAGATCCAGTAAAATGGCTACAGGAGACCGATTTCGTCTCAGATCTGGAGCTGGACTCGTGTTTGGGGCGCGTTGTGGCGGACAATGAATAGTGCTCCTGGCGAGCTTGGGCTCATTGTATTTCTCTCATCAAGAGCTTTCCAACGAGCCCAAGATCTTCAAAATCGGTGAGGTAGAACCAAAGTTAACTTGGAAATGGAGTGCGTATTTTCGTGACTGCCACAAATTCTGCGGAAGCAAAAAAGTTACGGACTCCAAAGGGTTTTAAACCAGTGAAAATTCAGTACTTGTTGACATCATCATGATTTCATCAAACTGGTATCAGATGAGAGACTACAAAGTTTACTCTTCGAATACAATGTACGTGTGAGGATGGATTAACCCATGACCTCTTCCGTGATACACAGTATGAGGTGGAGTTATCGGACGCTCTGATGTGCACTAATGCCCCTAATGGTTCCAGATAAGTAAGCAGAGTTACTCTGACCTAAAAATGTTACATGCACACTACCTTCCTCTTCTCCATTGCAATGGTGACAACAGGGTTCAAATCATCATAGTCGGCCTCATGACGCGCGCGTTTGGCCTTTGACTGCTGCGATCACGCACTGTGCAGGTGCCGCCTGCGGCCACATTGATGGTGTTCATCTCGACGTTGACCTTCGTGATGCTTGTGGGCACGGCCTTCAGTTTCATCGGGGGCGAATCCACGAGTTTTATATCCGACAAACAAATGCAGATGCTGTCGTTGATAATGTTGATGATTCTCTTAAATTCAGGCACGTCGATTTCTTCTGTTTCTTGAAATATGTTCTGAATGCGTGTCGTAATTCTCTCATCAACATACTGGGTGTCCCGGACGTAATTCTCCTTGGGTTCCAGCATGAGATGCAATAGCACGGAATCATCGGCTTCCCTGAGATCACCGAAGTCGGTTACATCAACATCTTGTGGTAGGAGAATCGGACATTGGCCAGCACCAAACTTGCCGTAAATGGTTCGAATCAGAAACTCCCCAATGACGCTTGGTGTCATATCTTGACGACTAGCCAATCCATTGTCGAGAATATCCTCCAACTCGTGCCTCGGTGTGAAGCACTGTTATTTCCTGATCTCAATCTGCCGCTCTGATGACACACGGAATAAAAGGAATACATTCCAGTATAATGGCTGCTGGGGTTGGTGTGAGGGCAGATCCTCCTCATCAACCGGCGTGATAAACGGCGTGTCAGTTGTCAACCAGCGGATTGGTGTGCTACATCTGGAGCTACTCATACTGGTTGATAAAGCGACTACAGTTGAATGAGTGGCTAATCCTCTATGTATTCGGTTATAATGTCAGTAGATTGATGAGGTTAAAGGTCATCCTGAATGTAGGTGACGACCTTGGAGAACACGGTGAAAACGGTGGGCGCCCAAACCAAAAAGTTGCTCGCGGCATGCCGTATCTTTTTTGTTGTTGTTCGCATTCGGAATCTTTCGATTGGGATAAGTCAATTAGTTTTTCATCTATGTCCATAATCAAGAGTACATAACCCCCAAGAGTGTGCAACTACCTGCACAACCTCTATGCTGTTCTGCGACGGCAGAACTTCACATCACGTGACATTGTTCAAAAGGTTACGCTGGCAAACAGTGCAAAGTGACCACAAGAGAGTTGAGCCCAAAGCTAGGTTGCGTACAACCCTGTATCTATCATGCTCAGAGTGCAAAAAAATGTGTATGGGTTCATCACGTTATGTGAAGTTCTGCCGTCGCAGACCCCATAGCTGGAGTTGCACACTCTTGGGGTTATCTACTCTTGCGGTAATCGAAAGGTCCATGAGGTGTAGAATTATTCTAGCTTTCCTCTCATATAATTCTTTTCGACATACACCATCGACATACAACATTTCTGACTATGGGTGGACTTGCAAATGATCCCACTTACGGGCTCACCGCACCTCAGTAACTGGGTGAGGACAAGGTGCAGAAAAAGGATTGACAGCATATCAGGGTATCCGTCCTGGGATCTAATTGCAGTTACCCCTGCCCCCCGGTGAGGGTTATACTTGGTACTAGTGTGGGTGGCTAAATCAGAGTGGATCTGATATGAGCTTAACTAGCACCAGTGATTCCACAAGAGTTAATCTAGCCAGAAGCAGTCCATGGTCAACAGGTATGTATACTTCAAATAGAAAGTACAGTATGTGAACCCTGCAACCAACAAAGGTGGCAGATACAACAACACACCTTCAAGCAGTCGAGCCTGTTGGCAACAGACCAAGCACTTATCTGTCATACGTGTACACACCAACTGGACGGGCTGGCACACACACACACACACACACACACACACACACACACACACACACACACACACACACACACACACACACACACACACACACACACACACGTGAACGTGCCCATTGCCGATGGCAATGATAGTGAAGGGAGTATCTGCTAGCTTTGCAGTACGGAGCGTGGCGCTTGAGGTCCCCGGGACGACGGCAGACCTTTCCACATGCGCAGCGGAAGCCAGAGTCAGGATCAGGAGGAGCACGGGCGCGAGGACGGCGATGAGCAATCTGCCTCCAGGCAGAGCGATACTAGGCAGCATCAAACCAGCAGTCAGAAGGCACAGGGGGGGGGGGGGGGGGGCTGATGGAGCGGAGATCATCCACGATGACGTCATCCCACCGCTTGCGTGGACCATGGCGAGGGCGCGTTGCAGGGAGCTCCCCAAACGAAACTCGCTTCGTTATACGGTCGTCGTCCATCCGGCCAACATGGCCAAGCCAACGCAGTCGATATTCTCTGATGATGTCCACGATGTCACAGTCAATGCCGAGGGTTCGGGCCATGGTAACGGAGGTGACACGGTTGTCCCACTGGTCCCGCCTGGATACGCCAACGATGATGCGAACACACTGGTGATGAAAGGTGCTGAGAGAGTGCAGGTCCAGTGCCTTCGGCGTCCACGTCTCTTCTCCGTACAGGAGGGTCGTCAGCACAAGGGTGATGTACACTCGGCGCCGACAGCGGAGAGAGAACGACCGATTCTCAAACACCGGGACACAGAGACTGCCGAACACACGCGAAGCCTTGGCGAGACGGGGCTGAACATCATGCGAAGACTGCCCGTCCCGATGGATGACGCTGCCAAGTACGTAAAACTGTCAACGGCCTCGATGGTGCTCTCACCAAGAGACACCGGCTCATTCATGGGCGAATTGACAGTCATGCATTTGGTCTTCGATAGACTAAACGTGAGCCCCCCCCCCCCCCCCCCCCCGCGCCGCACACGAAATGAACAATTCACAAATCGGCTAAGTGGTGGCATACACTGCAGCATCGTCCGCAAGCTGGGGCTTTGTGATGACATTGCGTTGCAGGCGGGACTTGGCAGTGCGGTCTCCAACCAACTTTCGGCCAACTCGGTAGTGCAGCTAAACACCAGCATCTGGGCACATGGAGCGCCAATACCCAACTACTGCAGAGAAATACAAGTTAAACAAGACGGGTGCCAAAGTACAACCCTGACGCAGACCGTTGTTGACGTTAATGGCAGCAGTGACACCACCCTTGATGCGGACCTTCACCTCCATCCACTCATGCAAGGACTTGATGATACTGAGCATCCTTGGGGGACACCAAACCTCTGGACCAAACACCACAGCGCTGGACGGGAGATTGAGTCGTATGCCTTTCGCAAATCGACAAAGAGAGCATACAACGGCGAGCCATGTTCGTAAGATTTCTCGATCAATTGCCTGGCAACAAAGATCATCTCTGCACACCCTCTGCCCTTGCGAAAACCAGACTGTGACTCGGGAAGCATCTTCTCCGAAATTGTCTGCAGCCGGTTCTGAAGAATCCGCGCAAACAACTTCCCAACAACATCCAACACACACACACACACACACACACACGCACACACACACACACACACACACACACACACACACACACACACACACACACATACACCTTGACCTTGACCTTGATCTTGCCCTTTGCGTACGCAATGATAGCGAATGTCGGAAAGTTCAAGTGAGAACACAAGCGCAGAACTTGGCATGTCGTTTCGGGTCTCCTGGTTGACGAAACGGGCGTCCACAGACACAGAGAAGAGGATCAGGAGCGGGCTGTGGGGGCGGAGTGCTAATCGCAACTCGTCTCCAGCCGGGACGATCCTGGCAACTCTCAAGCCAGGCGGTCACACCGAGGTCCACGAGGTCAGTCGACACCGCATCTCGGCACCTCTTCTTCGGGCCATGATGAGGACGGGGCAGGCAGCTCGCCGAACAGCAATTGCTTCGGTGCGCGTGAGTCGTCCATTCTGCTGATATGACCCAGCCAACGAAGACGGTGGCGACGGATGATGCTGGTGATGTTAGGGTCAGCACCGAATGAAGCCGCTAATGTGGCTGTTGTGAACCGATCGTTTCACACACACACACACACACACACACACACACACACACACACACGCTTGCACGCACACCCCCACCCCCCCCCCCCCCCACACACACACCTTGGACCTTGGACGCCCATCGCGTAGCGATGATGGTTCAGACGCGGCAGTGGGGGGCGTGCCTCTTCAGGTCCCCAATGCGGCCAAAGGGACGGCCACATGCGCAACGGAACTTTTTCGGTCCGGGTGGAGGAGGCTGCTGACGACACAACCGCCTCCAGGTTGGGCGATCCTGGGCTGGACGGATCCATTCTCCCTCTCCGATCTGGGCCGCAGCTAGATCAGTGACAACAACGTCACGCCATCGCTTCTTCGGACCGTGGCGGGGGCGAGTGGCATATAACTCGCCAAATACCATCTGCTGCGGAGTGCGATGTTCCTCCATACGGGCAATGTGCCCCAGCCAGCGCAGACGATGCTGTCGGAGCAAATCGGAGATGTCAAGAGACATGCCAAATCGCCTGCCCAATTCTGCCGATGTGAGCCTGTCCTCCCACTGCTGGATCCGCGATACACCGAGGATAGACCGAATACAGGAGCGATGGAAGACGGTCAGCCAATGGACGTGGGTAGCCTTCACAGCCCATGTCTCTGCACCGTAGAACAGAGTGCTCAGGACAAAAGCGCGATATACCATGCCCTTAATGCCGATGGATAAACCCCGGCACCGGAAAATCGGGGTCAGGAGGCAACCAAACACACGAGATGCCTTGGCCAAGCGGGAGGTGATCTCCACGTCCAGTGACCTATCGCAACTCATCACACTACCGAGGTAAGTAAAGCCGGAGACCATCTCCACAACCCCACCATCATCGAGGACGACATCAGGTTGTAGGTCCCCCAGGCCGACTGCTATGGCCTTTGTCTTGGCGATGCTGACAGTGAGACCCCACTGAGAGGCACAGGCAATGAACTCGTTTGCCAGGGTCTCCAGATGTTGTCTTGATGTGGTGTATACAGCGGCATCATCAGCGAACTAGGACTCGGTAACTTGGTACGTGTTCAGTCGCGCCTTGGTTGTTCGATCCCCAACAAGCTTCCGACCAGGGCGTGAGCGCAGGGACACGCCGGGAACAGAAGAGCAGGAACGCCGAGACGACATTATGGCAGCAAAATACAGATTGAACAGGGTGGGGGCAAGAGTACAGCCTTGGCGAAGGCCATTGTTAACATATATATCCTCCGTCAAGCGACCAGATATACGAACCCGAGCCCTCATGCCGACATGTAGGGACCGAATCAAGCTGAGAAGGGTAGGTGGAATACCGAGTTTCCCGAGGACAAGCCACAACGCCTCACGAGGTATGCTGTCATAAGCCTTCTTCAGGTCGACAAATATGACATACAGTGGCGTATCATGTTCGATGGCCTTCTTGATTAGCTGGCGCGCCACAAACACCATGTCGACGCACCCACGTCCCTTCCTAAAACCGCACTGTGACTCACGCAGCACATCCTCGGACAGTTCCTGAAGGCGATCCTGGATAACCCGTGGAAACAGCTTACCGACTACATCCAATAGGCTGATGCCTCGCCAATTGTCACATGACCGTAGGTCGCCTTTCTTCGGTATGGGTACAATCTCAGCGTCGCGCCACTCAGAAACAACGGAGCCACCTGCCCAAATCTGGGAAATCAGAGAATGAATACGCCGGTGGAGAGCAAGACCGCCACCCAGCACCAATTCCGGCACAAAACCTGACGAGGCACCAGCCGTGCCCCTACTCATCCTCCGCATTGCAGCCATCACCTCCTCAAATGTCGGGGCCATGTCAAGTTCATGACGTGGCTCAGCAGTAGGCATGTTATCAATGACATGCATACTAAACTGACAATGTTGAGCATGCCAACGCGTAACAAGACTTTCCGGGCTGTCAGTAAGGTGTCCGTCTCCATCATAAACCGCCGAGGGTGTGACCGTACGCCTGCCATCATCCACTCGCTGTAATTTTCGGATGCTTTCCACCTCACACAGCCATCCTTTTGAGCACGCTCAGCATCACCGACCACCTCACGGATCCAGTGTTCCTTTGCACCACGCACCGCCTTCGCAACCGACCGCTGGGCTGATCTAAATCCGGAACGTGTTGTTTGATTGCCTGCCGACAACATCCGTTCATGGGCACGTCGCTTCGCCTCAATACGTGGCTCCAATGCTGCCCTATTCTCCAGAAACCAGTCTGGTTGCCGCCGCCGACCGACCAGTGTTCTCTCCGCTACGCTGGTGATGTCATCACAAAGGGAATTCCAGGTCTCTTCAACACTCTGGCCACCACCGGCCACGCCACCACAGGCTGCCTCCATTGACTCTCGGTACTGCAGTAACGTATCAGGCTCACGCAGGCGATGGGTGGCATACGACCTCCGCTTAGGGAGAGTGAATCTACATTGGACGAAGTCCAGGACAAGCTTGGCCCGAACCATGCAGTGGTCAGTCCAGCACAGTGTGCCGCGGACAACACCAACGTCCTTACAGTAGCAGCAATGAGCTGTACGCATGATGACATAATCAATGAGATGCACTTGGCGAGTGGCTGGATGAGTCCATGTTCCACGCTTACTTCGTCCCTTCTTGTACCATGTATTCATTACTGACAATTGATTAGCTGCACAGAATGACAACAGCTCCTAGCCAGCCCGGTTGCAATTTCCAAGGCCAAATTGGCCCAAGACACAACCCCACATCTGCTCATCCCCTGGCATGCCATCGATACGACTCACAGCGCTGTCTGCATAGTCAGTGCTGGACCAGACGCACGCGTTCAAATCTCCAAGCACCACAAGAACATCTCTGGATGGAATACTGTCCACAACTCGTTGCAAGTCATCGAAAAACTTGCGTCTTACGTTCGGTGGGGCTTTACTCGTTGGAGCATAAACATTGACGATAGAGACACAGGAATCTGCGTGTCGCTTACCTCCACCAGGGAGTTTATCACCTCGCTTGGCGACAAGAAGACGAGCAGTGACAATACCCGAACTGACGGCAATCCACTGCTCCCCTCCGCTCTTCCACATCCCGGTCACGGCGGAATTCATCAAAATTCCAACTCCCTCGTTCCGGCGGCCGGGCTCACTCTCCAAAGGCAAAGGCCTCCCAGAGTGTAACAACGTACCGCTCCCAGCAGGCCACACGTCGCTTCCAAACCATTTCGTCTCCTGAATACCAGCAACGTCCACACCGAATCTGCCGAGTTCCTCCACAAGAAAATCCAGTTTCCTGTCAACGGCGGTATCCGAGACATTTCTATTTTTACGGCATATTTTGGCATCACCAGCGTCCTTCACTAAGGACCGAACGTTCCATGTCGCAGTGACCAGTGTCCTCTTCGCCTTCGTCTTCCCCGTCCTCCTCGTTGTGACCATAATTCATTCAAATTCAAAAAACTACAAATTCCCCAAACCACTTTGTCTGACTAGTGCAATGCGTACAACAAACCTCCCTACAGCTCGCAAGGCTGTCAGGACGGGCCACAGCAGCCAAGGCCTGGTCTCCACCATACGGCACTTGGCTGCCAAGTGTGGCTAATCCATCATTGAGACAGAGCTCAAAAAAAGCAAACTGCCTCCTCCAACAACAAGCTGCACACACACACACACACACACACACACACAAACACACACACACACACACACACACACACGCACACACACACGATACGTTGCTGCATTAACATACACTTACAAACTGCATTTCATCACCGGTCCGACTCAATTGCTAGCAGTCCTCCTACCCAGGCTTGAGCCCCGTGACGCCACTCGCACTCGAAACAATCTCCGCAGGGCCGCCGGCCACAGTTACCAGCTACGAAATCCCCTACCGCGCCAAGCACCAGACACTATTCTCCGCAGCTTCCCACATTGTGCAATCCACCTGTGGAATTCGCTGCCGCCAGCTTTTCTAGACTCCACCCCAACTCGCAAAAATCTTCAAAAGTTAAGTGCAACGTCAAAGAACACCTCCACCGACAGGATTGGCGATGGTCCACGGACATTCTTCCTGTCGACCCACCTACATTCTTGTGCCCCGTCAACGACTCCCATTGCCACGAATGTGCTGCACACTAGTACTAGCTGTTGTTTGCCCTTGCTTTATGCTGACCCTTACAGCTCTATCTTTTGTTTTTGGTGCGTGTTTCTGGCCGTGATGCTGAGACCTCAGGTCGGCAGAGCCATCGATGCCCCACCATCACTGCTGCATCTCGGAGCAGCCCCTTCTCAGTAGTTGTCACGTTTGTCCTTGTCTCAGTACTTCTGTATTATTTATGAGTTGGGTATGTGAACATAGTAAAAAAGAAAAAGAAAAAACAACAACAACACACACACATACGCACACACACACACACACACACACACACACACACACACACACACACACACACACACACACACACACACACACACACACACACACACACACACACACACACACACACACACACACACACACATGCACCGCTTATGAATAGCTCAGTCTACGGCAAGACCATGGCCCGGAAAACGTAAGGAATCCCATCAACCTGTGTGTGATGAGAGAAACGGCAGAGGAAGATCGTCTGAAGCGTCGAATCAACAAGCCATCATTGCGCAAAATCCCGCATCTACATGCACATGTATGAGCGACATCCACATAAACTGCTGGGACCATGGTTGTGTGCTCGAATCTCATTCTGACCACCCTTTTTCTATTTTTCTTTTTACTTCTTTTTTGATCGATCATTCTTCAAGGAAAGTTCAGTAGACAATCGATCAACGTGGCCGATGCCCGAGGACAAATGAGTCTGGTTGGAGTTTTTGCGTGGTACAGGATGACCAGACATGTATGGATTATCCCATGAGTACGTGGGTTATACGGACAGATATTTTATAAGGGACACGGTATACACAGAGCAGATCTACGAATGGTATAATCCATTTTTCACATGTACTGCCAATCAAAGCGTGACCAGCACTAAAATCCCCCTTATTTACTTCTGGCGTGACCTGAGCGGGGAATATTATTGACCCCAGCGGGGAATATCGCTCTTTATCCCATGGTACGAATCGTTTTGGGTCATTTCAGCCAATCAGCAACCGTTCTAAGCGGGGTATATAGAGCGATATACCCCGCCGGGGCAATAATAAAAAAATATACCCCGCTGGGGTCATGAATATTCTCTAGGTCACGCGCATATTAAGGGAGATTTTAGTGCTGGTCACGCTCTATTTGGGACAGTACATGGGATAAATGGATTATACCATTCGTACTCTGTGTATACCGTGTCCCTTATATTTTCCCTCGTGCCAACGCACTCCTGAAAATATTCGGCGGTATACCCATCGTACTCACGGGATAATCCATACATATCCCCCCCCCCCCTCAGAATGGTCGCTGATTGGCTGAAATGGCCCAAATCCGATGGTTTCGTACCATGGGATAAATAAAATTAAGATATAGATACATTGCGACGGTCCAATCTGAAGGCCGTGCCCACAAGCTTCACGAAGGTCAACGTCGAGATGAACACCATCAATGTGGCAGCAGACGGCACCTGCACAGTGCGTGATCGCAGCTTTCGTGACGAGTCGAAGACCAAACGCACGCGTCATGAGGCCGACTATGATGATTTGAACCCTGTTGTCACCATTGCAATGGAGAAGAGGAAGGTATTGTGCAAGGAACAGTTTTAGGTCAGAGTAACTCTGCTTACTTGTCTGGAACCAATAGGGGCATTAGTGTACATCAGAGCGTCCGATAACTCCACCTCGTACTGTGTGTCATGGAAGAGGTCATGGGTTAATCCATCCTCACACGTACATTGTATTCGAAGAGTAAACTTTGTGGTCTCTCATCTGATACCAGCTTGATGAAATCATGATGATGTCAACAAGAACTGAATTTTCACTGGTTTAAGGGATAGACACTGAATTGTATAAAGTAAATACTACCTACGGCAACAAGAACTGAACTTTCACTGGTTTGAGGGATAGACACTGAATTTTATAAAGTAAAATACTACCTCCTCCTCTCCATTGCGATCTTCAGTGTTCGTTCCATTATGATTATTCTTTGTAATATGTATCGTATCTATCAAGAATTGACCTTTGTGACGTGTGTGAGCATGCCCATTTTTGAAACAAATGCATGGGGAGGTGGAACGGGAGGAGGGGTGGGGTGGGTCACGGAAAAAACTTTGCGCTTCACTTCCAAACTGAAGCATACTTATGTACACAGGAGCACCTGTACGAAAAAAATCAACCAAGAGACGGTGGATAGATAACTACTGTGTCGTTTCTTGGTCTGACCTTCTAGTTTTCATCGCTGCTGGTGTCCCAGGGCGCATCTGCAAGTGCACCCCCCTGCAAAACGTCGACATTTTTTCATCTCCTCAAAGCTACGCTGTGCTTCCTTGATTTTTACACTCCATAGGCACAATGTGGATGATCAGCTTCGCCTCCTCCTCGTGCAGTACGACTGCCAGAATGTTGGCTGTAGGTGTTTTCGCCTGACGCTCTCATGGAGACATCGCGGCGCTCGATGCGGAATGAAGCAACCTTGCACTGTACCTTTGCGCACATACGCTCAACTTGCTGCTCGAAGCTCAGCGACGAGTCCAATAGGAGGCCAAGGTACAGAAAGGATGACCTAGTACCTAGGCAAAAAGCATAAAGATGTTATAATTTTTTCAATCCTCCAATTTTTTCAGGCATAACCTGGGATTCGAACCCGCACTATCGCCCTACATGCATTCCCCCATACACTTCGCATTCCTTCTCATTCTTCCAAGTTGCTTCGCGTTATTTAGAAAAGCGATCCTGTTAGCTTTTCTTTTATTGTGTTCACATGGCAGAAAAAACGACATCGCTATGCTACGTAAGTTTTTACGTAAGGTGCTCGGTATTTCACTTAGGCTACGTAAGTTTCTACGTAAGGTGCTCGGTATTACCACGTGCTGTGCACGTGCACGGCAGACACTGTGTTGCAGTGCAGTCCGTTTTCGGATGTGCATGCGCGAGGAAATTCCTTTTTTGGAACTGCTTCTTGCATGAGCTGTTTCGGATATTTCGTGTAGTGGCATACTTCGCTTTGGCTCTGCTGAGACCTCCTTCCGCGGAATATTAATCAATGACAGGTGAGTTGACCAGTTCCCTTTGATTCATTTGATTGTGTTGACTCTTTCATTTACGAAAAGTGGGCTGATTTTAGGTAGAATACAATAAATAATGGAAAAGCTGGCAGGATCTCTTTCTTAATTTAGCTTTTCTGCTGTCGAGGCCTCCTTTTACGGAGTACTCAATGACATGTGATCTCTGAGCTGACCAGTTTCCTTCGATTCATTTGCTTATGCTCACCCTTTCATTTACGGAAACGTGTGCTGATTTTATTCGGATTTAGATCCATTCGTAACTCTTTGCCCTTGCCAACAATGTGCGAAGAACGCGAGTTCACCTTCTTGCCGGTAAGGCTTATGTTGCTGCTGAGGCTTAGATGTGTTGTCGAAATACTCATGTTCATTGTACATTTGTACGTTACAAGTAAGGCACTGGTCATGATTGCTTCCGGCATTCCGTGCTCCGATCATAGGGTATAATCTGAATTTTGCAGTGGCATAGCACCGTTGGCAGTTCCCAATCTGGAGGGAAAGGTTCAAGGACGCATTGGCCGAGTATACAGAATAAATTCGCATATCAGGGAAATCTCCATTATGGAGAGGTTCATGCATTCAGTGACTTGTTTGCTTCATACGAAACAAGCCAATGGGTACCGGGTGCAGTCTCGTCTCTTGAAAATCTCGTACGATTGGATTTGTATACTCGAGTCTGGGCTGTTTGATTTGTGAGTAGCGCTGAGATTGCACTGCCATGCCCCAAATAAAGTTGCATGCCGGCAAAGCAAGAATTACGATTTGCAATCTGTTTGTAATACCTGCAAGAATGTGCTGTACATGTATCGGATTTTCTCTGTTGCTGTTTCGGTTGCCATCATGTTGCTGAAGAAATGTTCAGTGACTCATTTGTTTCGTACGAGACGAGTCAATGCGTCGGTTTGGCTTAGAGTCTTTCGCTGTAGAAGAAATCTATTCGTATCTCTCTTGGAGAAATAATTGTATTCACTGGTTATAAAATTGACAAACCTTACAGAACAAATACCATCGGCCCCTTGGTGTTCGTCCTAAAGAGGTTCGACTGGATATCATTCATACCCACCAAAATATGTGTAACATATTATTATGGAGTGCCTTGTTTATCTCTCAGTACTTCCAACCATATATATTTGTATATCCTCAGGGTCAGTGTAGTTGTTGGAACGAGGTGTCGGACTCAACAATGTATTTGTTTACATTTTAATACATGTTTATTGTTCCTACTTTGCTGTGTTGTTTTAG